GGGGCCGTTGCTGGGTCACCGCAGAAGCCTGGCACTGTGACCCCAAGGGTGGCCCTGGGAGGCAGTGGAGGGGAAGGGCCCCGAGGGTTCTTCCCAGTGTGCTCAAGCCTCTCTGCTGCTGGGTAGCCTCCCGATGGCAGACCTCCCTGGGGGATGTTATCCCAATGGCAGACCTCCCTGGGGGATGAGAACGGGCTAATGGGATGCCCATTGACAAGAAAGGCGGGAAGGCGGATCCTGGGAACTGCATACCTGTCAGTCTGACCTCGGTGCCAGGAAGATCATGGAGCAGATCTCATTAAGTGCCACATCACAACATTTACAGGGTACCCAGGCCATCAGACCCAGTCAGCACAGCACACCAGGCTGGGCACCGAGAAATCTGTCCCAGTCCAGGATCAGGGCTCTCAACGAGACTTAATAACAACCTCTGCCTCTTAACCACTCTGCCCTCCCTAAGAGGAAGAGAAAGAGAATAAGGGAGAGAGACTTATGGATTAGAAAACTGAAACAGCTTTAAGGAGATGAATGACTGTAGTCAAATGAAGCAGATACAATTCTATCCAAAAGCAGTATCAAACCAAATACCCTTGCTGGCAAAGTTTTATTTTTTCATTAATACAGTCCCTGGTTGCTAAAAGTCACCTTTGAAGAACACACAACATTAAAAATCAAGTTAAAAACTGTTTAAATCTGTATTGGCTAAAACATCCTTTAGCTATAATTACAATATAATGAGAAAATGTAGAGTAAATCGAATATAGACAAAAAGAAATACTAATAAGTTAATATCTAGAAGGACCAAGTAAAAAACTCTCCCTGAATATTTAACACTTAAAAATGTTAGTTGAAAAGAGAAAGAAGGAAATGTAAATAAACTGCTCCAATTTATTCATCTATGTAACTCTCTTGTTCTTGTGTCTTGGTTTGATCAAATTCACGAAGCACTTGAAACTGCCAGCTTTTTTAGATGGTCCATGAATACCTGGAGACTAACATCATCTGTCAAGATCGGAGCTCCTGATTCCTGCAGAAAAATAAAGAAATGATGAACCTAAAATAGTTTTGTTAACACTGGGCACTAAATGAAAGCAAATAAAATGTCAGCACTTTGATTCAATTGCCTCCTAAATCAATCAATTTTTTCTTATGAAGGACAGATGTCTAGTGAAAGATGCTACACTTGGGCCACAGAACTGATGCTATCTTCTAGTGCAATCTGAACTACTGGGCAAAAAAGTCTCTTTCTAAAGCATTAGGAATTTTGTTGTCCAAAGCTCTACACAAACACAGTAAAGACAACATAAAAGTCTAGTATTCTCAGAGAAACTAGATCAATGTGTATCCACACGCTAGTTACTTTTCCCAGAATACCAAATACAGTGTGACCTAGGAGTTTTGAAACATGCTTGTAGAGAAGGGTGAAGATATATTTCTGGATCAGGTCATCTGAAACCTGTAAGAACATACTCTGCATCAAACTAGCCACTTCCTTTGATAGTGGCCATCACAGAAAACTCTCCTGGTCTGCCTGCACCCCTCGTGACACTGGGATACAAGGAGATCAAAGGGACAAAGCACTTCTTGTGGAGACCACTCATCTCCTGCCATCAGGCTGCTGAGGTACTGAGCTGTTCTGGCAGCATCTCTATTTGGACACCTATTTTCCTTAAATCCATTAGGAAAAAGTCCAAAAGTCAACTAGATATTGCTGAAAATTTAGGGGGATTCAGTACAACAGGAGCAAGAGTTCAGTCATCCAGGTTTGAAAACTAATCTGATCATCTTGTCATCTAGTGCTCCCCTCCAGTACTGTTTATCTTATCAACAACCATGGGCTTGAACGAGAATGTTGAATAAAAATTTAACCTGCCTAAGCTTTAAAGACACATCCAATAAATCATTTGTGTCTTTTAAAACACTGTTATTTTGGTCTGGTAAGTCCATTATCAGGTCCCTCGGTACACAGCAGTAACCTCATTTCCTTACACCACAAAGCACTGTAGGATTTTCAAATCCAGTCACAGATGTCTGCAAAAGCTCTCAGGTAAGAAACAGAGGACAAATGTAACCTGGTGATGGTTTGTGGCCACATAGTGAAAAAGGATGGCTACTGCATGGACAAGTAGTTAACTTTACATTACAACAGCAGGTATTTAATTGCTTACCTGTCCCCATGCGTAGAGGTTACTGTGGGTCTGAGAGGGGTTCACTTTAGACAAGAGGAACCGGGCCTGTTAAGACAAAACATTAGAGAAGTGTTTTTGTAAAATGCCAGACATGTCAGCTCCCTCAAGACTTCTCACCACTGTAGATACATGACTAGTGATGTTCCTCTGCTTTTGCAAGCAAGGTACTAATTTAATGTAAACAGGTTTCAAGAATAGAAACAGCCAAGCTCCACATGGCTCCAACAACTTGTCTCCAAGGGCCATGGAGTGTCTGCTACAGCAAGCAGCACTTGCCTGGCAGGGCAGCTCTGGTTCCAGTGTGACACGGGCAGGTTACCAGCACTGTCCTTTGCATGCCCCCATATACTCTTCAGAAAAAGATGTCAGTGGAGGACCGGCATAGCACAGTCACATCACAAATTAGTACCAAAACTTTGTTCTGGGAGCATCAGTTCCTGCCTCTTTACTGCTACAAACAAGCCAGGCACAGACAGGCACATCACAACCGCAATTCCAGGAACAGCAGGAACTACTTTACATCCTCATCTGGCATCAGAGAATATAGAAATAAATGGTCAATCGTTCAGCATAACTTACTGTCCTAGCAAGCTAGCTGCACTCTGTCTTGGGTAACTGTGCATACATACCCAAATAATTTCTTTCCCACCTCTTTAGAGAATATAAAGATATTTAAGCCGTTTTGGTTTGGTTTTTTTTTCCACCCTCAGATTTCAACAGCACTATCCAGCAAGTAACTGGCTTATTAAAAGAGAATGTTGATGTAAACTTGTAACTCTGTACTTTGAAGAGATAAATTGCCACTGTATCTGATTTACAGAACCACCCTTTTAGTAATACAGAAAGACAGCTATTTGCTCTATTCAACAAGAGAAAGAGTTCCTTGAAAAACCTCCTTACCTGACTGCCCCCATGTTCTGTGTGGACATAACGTGGCATTGGGAATCGAGTATGTAAGATTTCCTGGGCATCATCCAGTGGGGCCTGCAGGAGGTGCTTGAAGTTTTCATATTCAGGCATGTCTTGGTAACCAGCTTTCTGCCACTGTGCAATAGTCTATTGATGGGACAGGGAGGAAATGAAAAAGTAGTAGAGATGTCTGCAAGCCTCCCCTTTTTAACCTGTATGTCTTAAGGCAGGAGAATGTTACATGTGCTTCTGCCTGCAGAGCACAGGGCAAATGCACACTTTCACTGCTCTGACAATAGCATCATTTAGTTTCTGTCCGTGAATTTAAGAACAGGCACACAAGACAAAAGCTGGCAGTAGTTTGGGCAGAGCAAGAGAAATTTGTTGAAAGTGATCTTCAAGCCTTTATGTTTCAGCCTGCATCAACATAGAAACACAAAGCATTTACAAATCACTCACATTTTGAACTTGACTTGGTCTTAAATTAAGCAGCCATTGCTTTACAGTATTTTCAAGGTACCTAACCTTGTGTACCTAGAAATTGATGCTGATCACACACAGGTCTTCCTTTGTCTAAATTTTATCCACTTGCGGAGTGTCTCACACTGCAACAGTAGATAGAAACTGTTTAAGGTAACTCTAAATCTAAAAGATTTATTGTCATTGCTGACTCAAGCAATCGAGTCCTCTTCATGTCAATCAGGTATCCTTGCTCACTTCTCAAACAGAGTGAATCCTATATGGAGTGAAGTCAGGGGCTAATGATGGAGCTGCTGCAAATTATCATGCCAAACTTTAAGCATTCTAATAACAGTTCTTAAATATCAGTGACATAGCTTCGTTGAAAAGCAAAGAGAAGACTTAAAAAGCCACCCAAGAAGTTTTCACTAATAGGAATGTTTGACCATAAACCAATATGGGTTTATTTAAACTACTCTAATGCAATGGAAAGAAGAAACTGGAGGAGGGCAACTCCTCAAGCAGGACCATAAAGGATTGAAAGAACGGGGGGGGGGGGAAAGAAAGGTATCAAAGAACATGGAGATTTCCAAAGAAAGAAGTGAAAAGCCAGCTTTGTCTTCGTCCCTTACCCTGTAACTACTTTAGGGTGTAAGATGTTTCTATTATCCAGCTACAGTAGCACACCACTCCCTTACAAAACCTCACAGGACTGAAATACAGATGTACGGGTCTGCATACTGAAAAGGCACAGGAAAGGCAAGACTTTGGATACTGGTCTAAATCTGGATGTCTAGAAAGGGCCAGTACCTGAGCACTTACCTCAGTCACAAAGGAAGGAACATAGGAGCAGCTGTCAGAAATACCCAGCATCTGAAAAATCAAACTGCAGCTCTCTGTCCTACTTAGTTCCAAGTTTCTCTGGCATTGTCCAGGCATAGTAAGGGACCACCTTCACTACCAAGCTAACTTCACAGCTTTTACTCAGTGAAGAACACATCCTTAGTGACTCCAGTAGGATTTTTTTTTTAAATCAGACAGTGGGGAGATTGTATAAAAACTGTCAGCATGTATACAATGTTATTATGGAGGTGTGGGCTTTGCAAGCAGCTTATTTTATACTAACTGTGATGCTGTCTGCATGCGTGACATGGAGGAGGGAGTGCAAACAGAGACAAAGAATGTGTTTCACCATACCTCACCAAGGTAGATAACTATCTGGAAGAAAGTATCCATCAGCAGGATTCTGTCAGGAAGAATACTGCTGCTGTCCAAAAGCACTGGCTGGGGAAAAGAAAGAAGAAAGTCAGGCAACAGTAAGCCCTAGGAACTGCATTAGCCTTTGTGATTGGCCAAACAGCTTACTCAGCCCTCCCATGACTCCATCAACAGCTGCTCTCCCCATGGAATGCCTTGCAGCTTGTCAGCTGCTCTATGAAGTGCAAGATGGGGCAATGCAACTTCTATGGCAATCCAAGCTAAACCTGAAATGATCTTGAACAAATTATGTCAAGAATAATAAGGAATAACACGTGAAGTCTGGTAAACACTGCCAAGAAGGTTTCAAAGTGCTCTCCAATGGCTCCTGTGTTTCTTTCTTGCAAGACATACTCCTTTCAAGGAAGCTGTCAGTATAAGGGAACCTGTGCCTGTCCATTAAATATTTCCACATAGTTTAACACTGCTCAATAAACAGCTGGAAACAAACAGCTGGTAGGAGATTATGACCTGAAAAGGCTGAGGCTTGCCAGTTTACACAGAGGAGATGGTAGGCTCTGGTAGAGAAGCAAAATGATACTGACAGGCACAAGATTCACCAGACGTTAGGGGGTAGAGGCTGTGGCTCGGTCGGGCTGGGCAGGTTGTTTGGGGCTGGAGGAGAAGGTTCGGGTCTTTAATAAAAGCTGTAAGCTTACTGAAAACACAATTCATATTCTACACTGCCCCATCTCATCCTTTAATAATTACCTTGATTAAAAATCTATATAGAGAGAAACCTTTTTGCTGAAATAGTGACTGAATATTCATTATTTTGGACTGATCCACCTTTTGTGGTTAAACAGGGACTCACCTCAGGAGGTCCGTGGAAAGAATAAGCATAAAGGATGGGCTGGATCATAATGAGAGACTGGGTCAGATCTTGCCTAGCAAAGTGGTGACGATAATAAGAAGATTCATCTGGACTGTTATTGAAGACCTGCAGGAACGGGGAGCGTCGCAGATGGAACATGAACTGCACCAGAAAGATGAATGAGAAATGTCATCAAATTGCCAAAACTTCTGCATCCAAGTCCAATCTTCCTGAACAGCAAATTCTTTGGAAAAAAGTCTACCTCTTATTAACTCCACAGAGTTCTTCCCTCATCAGTCATTTGCAGCACTGAAGTGCTGGGGTTAAACCCAAAACCCTGAATGAGGGTTGGCATATGGATGATGTCCATAACCAGGCAAGAAAGGCCTTTCTGATTGGTTTTCGCCCAGGGTCTAGCCAGCCTTGGATGGCAACTGACTAGGAGATCACCAGGTGCCCCTGCCTCCAACATTAACATCTTGTCCTGCTTCCAAGTGTATCACATAAAAGCTGGCTCTGCTTGCAGTGGTGTTGGGAAGCCTACCTGCGCTGTAGCCGTGCTGTGTAGGGTTTCCAGTTATTGGAAGGGCTCTTATGGTCCACAACAAGTGGAGTTCCCAGTGATGGCGGGACAGGATCAAGGCAGAATTTTGAGAGGATTATGGGCCTTAACCTCTTGCCTTGCTTGATGGCAGCACGTGTCACATTAGTAGATGACCTCTGCGATAGTGTCCATGGTCAAATCCAGCCCTAGTTCTTGAGCCCACCTACATGTTGTGTCTCTCCCTTGATGACCTGCTTATATGTTGTGTCTCTCCCTTGATGACCTGAGGTGTCATGGGCCCACCGAGCTATAAATAATTCACCCTTATGCTGCCAGTCCAAGTCTACCAAAGCCACTGAAATCTTGGCAGCCTGATCCACACACTGGTTGTTTTGATGTTCTTCTGTGCCCCGACTCTTGGGCATCCACATGGCGTACCTTCACAGACAGATTCTCTACACGAGCAGCAATATCCTGCCACAGTCCAGCAGCCCAGATGGATTTCCCTCTACACTGCCAGCTGCTCCACCTCCACTGCTGTAACCACCCCCACAGGG